TTGTGTGCACAATTCATCATATGTTGGAACTTATCAATATGAAGGATAATACTATCGAATGAATGAAAAGGGAAATAAGCTCAAATTGTTAATTGCATCCAAGTGCCAAGGGCTATGTGATAAATGATAGGAAAGGAATGTGAACCGAATAAGTAATTGATATGGTTATGTCCCAAAGTGAGATGGCTTAGCCGATCGGGCCGAAATTGGGCTCCATGTTGCACACATGGTGGCATATACATCGGAAATATGAGTATAAATTATGATATTGGTAACGTCTCACTTGGGATGGCTTAGCCGGTTGGGCCGAGACCGGACTCCGTGTAAAAAGACACGGTGGCATTATGAATTGTGGTACTTGACACTAGGAGACTATAAGTCAAAAGGATGAAAAGGTGAAATAAGAAACTATGAGACTCTCACTTGTGTTCTCTGTATTTCTGTGCAGCATTGTTTGATTTCCATGACTGTCTTCTACTTGTATATTGTATAATTCTATTTAGAGTAAAGTTTGTTCATACATACTAGTACTATTCGATGGTACTAACGTCCCTTTTGCCGTGGGCGCTAAATCTTTTGATGGATGTAGGTCGCTCCGAAGCTGGTAACGTTGATCGCAGGTAAGGTGCCTTCCCTTTCTCTCCACAGTAGTTTGGTGAGCCCCATTTCTTTCCGGGGTTATGTATAGTATATGTCACACTTCTTTTGCTTATGTTTTTACGCTTTGAGGTAGAGCCAGGGCCTTGTCGCCGGCAGGGTCACTTTGTCTTTTCCGTCTTTAGAGGCTCCGTAGACAGATTGTGGGTGGTGTCGGATATTGAAAATTTGAACTAGATATGTCGTTATTTGGCAGAATGTTTCCTTCATAACTATTAATTGTAATAATTTGGTTAGTATGGTTGAACTGTTGATGAAAGACAAAGACAAAAATTGTTAATGTAATGCTCATAAAGTAGGATTTATGGAGTTCATCTCCTTGCTATTCATAAATTAATTTTGGGTAGAATGAAACCTAATAGGCTTGCTCAGTCGGGCTTGCTCGGTTGAGCGCTGTTCGCTCCCCTCGGTTTTGGGGCGTGACAATTGATGCATCTACCAGATAGAATTTTAATGTCACGCCCCGAGCTTAGGGGCGAGACCGGAAACAGGTGCTTTATCTATCCTTGCGTACCACTTGCAACTAAGAGGCTCTGAATATGTAATGTCATACTCAGGCCATGGCCCACATTACAAGATAATGTGCGAAGCAAAAATAAAACTGAATAGAGACTAACGCTAACTAAATGTCAACATAAAGCTGGGTCGGCAAGGCCGTCATAACCACAATAAATGACAAGCCAACAAAATATACGTGCAGCGCCTACAAGCCCAACATACTGCACTATCTGACAGGATGTCTCCAAGCCTCTAATGATAGATGTATTTTAATCAGAACAGGGCCCCGACCTACCCATAACCTATCTACACATATACACAAGATATACACAAAACTTCTAGACCCGACAACTCTGAAGGACGGGGAGCTTACCGATAAAGCTGAACTCGGGCAACACCTACTGAGGAGGTCTACCCGTCTGTCTGTCTGAACCTGCACGCATGAGATGCAGCTCCCCTAGAAAGGGACGTCAGTACGAAATAATGTACCGGGTATGTAAGGCAATATACTGAAAGCTGAAACTGAACTGATAATATAATAACTGAAAGCAATCGGGGGTCAAATATAATCTAAAGATATGCTCACCTGCTGATACTAAATCTATTCTATCAATCTAGTAAGTAAAATAGTTGTCTGGCCTCATAGGGCTAGTTTTATATATATATATATATATATATATATATAAAAAAACTGCTCTGCCGTAGTAGGCTCACTCATAGCAGCTCGACCATACTAAGCTTTGTATCTCAACTAACTAGGCTCGCTCATAGGCACGCGGCCACAGCAGGCTCGGTATATAACTTACATCTGATCTGAGGTTGCCCAATAGGGGCCTGCCTATCGATTATAGCTTGATGGTAATGAAATACTGTAATATTATTTATATAGACCCTCTGCTCTCTTGACTAGAAAAAGGAAATACTCAATTGAATATTGTACTTACAAGATTAGGAAAAATATATGTAAATTCTGGGACATGAATTTTTCTTTATTCCTCGTTATCAAACTCGTGTAATTACGAGATCATGCCAAAATGAAAGAAGGTCTTAGATTTAAGGTACCCGGAGGGGAAAATCTATGTGATATTCTTGAAAAGGTTTACACCGTACTCCCTTAAAATTGTAAAATCTCACGTTGCTTACGATATTACGAAACCTCTGTTTGAATTGTTAAAGATCCATAGCTTCATATGGCCTTCAACGTTGGCGTCAGGTGCCTTTTTCGTTAGCTTCAGATGGGCCTTTTCTATTCTCTCCAATGTTGAAGATATGCATCTCTTAGTTCTAAAAAGATATGTAGCCTCCTATTGTTTTAAAAGATCTGTTTAAGAGATTTGTTTAATTCCCTCAGATGTTGAAGGCTTTTATTTTAATTTATTGCCACCTACCCAACATGACTAATGACTCATTTGTTTTGGGTTGTGGCTTGCTGCTACATGGGGTGGGGAAGGGGTTTTTAATCTTATCCTATAATTAGTAATAAATTAGCTATCATCCCGCTACCCGATAATTAACCAATTACCCACATAATTAAGAATTATCTCAAATTACTTAAAATTCTACTTATTTTTAATATACTATCATGACCATATGGTACCTTGTATGGTACAAGTCCATAAATATCGGTTATTACTGCTGAGCCCGTATTTTATCCCAAATCGACAACCTTCAACAAAACTCATTTCTTCAATTCATGTACCCTTTATCCTTCGTGGCACTTACTTATCGCTTGTTATAAATAGCATAAATATGCGAGCCTCAAGATAATCTCATCCCCGGGTCTATATCAATTAACTTAAGACGAAACTTTAACGTACGAGAAAAGCGAGATGTAACACTTAAGTTGCACGCTTCTTTGATATGGACCATCAATGACTCTCCAGCATATGGAAATTTTATCTGGATGGAGCATAAAAGGAAATTGGCATGCCCATGTTGTAAGAAAGACACTTCCTTAATTAGACTGACTAATAGTAATAAGCAATATTTTCTGGGAGTTACCTTTCTCTAAATCATAAATGGAGGAATGATAAGGAGTCATTTGATGGAACAAAAGAGCGAAGGCTCCCACCAAGAGAGCGTTCTGGTACTGAGGTACTTAGTCAATTACAAGATCTTGAAGGGATACGATTAACAAAGGATCCAAAGAAACAGATCAAAATATCACGTGATGCTCGAAAGGATAATTGGAACCAGAAGAATTTTTTTTTTTTGAACTTCCGCATTGGAAATCTCTTTTGTTGCGGTATAATTTGGATGTTATGCATATTGAGAAGAACATATGTGATAACATTTTGGGGATTATGATGAATTCCAAAGAAAAGTCCAAGGACACCATTAAAACTCGACTAGATTTACAAGAAATGAACATTAGGCCGGAATTGCACCCAATCAAAAAACGGACGAAGTTCCGATCGCATGTTACACATTTTCTCTAGAAGAAAAGCACAAGTTATGCCATTTCTTAAAGAATTTAGAAGTCCCTGATGGATTTTCGTCTAATATTTCTCAATGAGTGAATATGAAAGATCACAAGATTTTTGGCTTAAAGAGTCATGATTGTCATGTTCTTCTACACTATGCTTCCACTTTCACTTCGTGGTATGTCATCCAAAGATATATTTGAACCACTTATTGCGTTATCTTTATTTTTTAATGTCCCTGGATCAAAGGAGTTAAGGAGGGAAGAGTTGGAGCAAATTGAAGCCCAAATTCCTCCAACTCTTTGCAAGTTAGAAAGAGTATTTCCTTCTTCATTTTTTGATGTCATGGTGCACCTACCTATTCATTTAGCGAATGAAGCTAAAATTGTTGGGCCTATTCATTATCGGTGGATGTATCCTGTGGAGAGATGGCTATATTTTTTAAAATCTCTTATTTGTAATAGGGCTTGTCCGTAAGGGTATATTGCAGAGGGATACATTGCAATTGAATGCATGGCCTTATGCTAAAGGTATCTGCATAAAATTGACACAAAGTTCAATCGGCCTGGACGTTATTTCTGATCCCTGAAATTATTTAAGGATCATATTACAACTAGTCGTCAATACCTTTCAAGGATCAGTAATAGTCTGGTCGCCAAACATATTTAGGGACCAGATGTCAAAGCCATCGTTAATAGCCTTTAACGACAGAGGATCTAGCGACCGGTGACGACCAGTTTTAACTGGTCGCTATATATATTATAGGACCAGAATTAGGCTTTTAGGGACCATTTTTCTCGTCTCTAGAAGTCATTTTACATGTAGTACACGCACGCAAGTCATAAATCGTCAAATTAAGCTTCAGAGGTCTTGGAACAACAAAAAAAGAGGGACTAGTACTTAAAAAAAATCTATCGAGTCATCAGAAAAAGCTTCTCATTAAGCGTAAATAAGACAAACTGAAGAAAAAATTCAAATATAAATGTGTCATTCTTTTTTGAATGAATTATTAAGAAAAATGTCCATAATATAAGAACGTAAATATTAAATCCATAAAATTAAAATCCGTGTTTGATAGGATTATTCACTTGACCAAATGGACTAAAAAGGAACGCAAAGGATCTATATGCAATAGACTTTAGTGTTTTTCCCCTTTTAATTCAAATATTTTTACATTGTATCAAATGGATCTTACTCTTATAACTGGATCTTACCTGGCTCTAGTTAAAAAATATACAAATTAGAAAACTTGGAAATGAAAACAAAATTCATCAAGCATAGATATTTTATTTTTAAAAAAAAAAACCACGAAATATTATTAAATTAAAACATACACAAGAATAAATCCATCAGGAAATATATTTGTAATGAATCATTTGAATTTCCATCTTTCATATTTTTTCTTTTTATGTAGAAATTAAGCTAAGCACATTTGCAGTGACAGACATGCTTATTTCCCTCTAATTTGCAAGCTCCTCCGAGCTCACAGTCACTGACACAGAACGTCCAACATTTGCCATCATCTTCTGGACTATCATCTACACCAGGTACACATGAACCAAGCTCTGGGTGATCCATGCAACATTTTGCTGCATCAACTATATTCTTGCAACCTACAAAATAACAAGAAGATATTATATACACATATGTATGTGTGCACGTACATGCATATCTGGATTTGTGCTAATTAACTAGTGTTCTTATGCTTGAATTATATAAAAATTCTCTCAGCCCTTTGAATAAAGAAATTTTAGCTCTAAATGAATACAAATTCCTGCATTTTAGTATCATTCGAATTACAAAAAACGTTGAGAGCAGCACAATTAAGCACTTTTTTTTTCTTGCAAACCAAAGATCTATACCATAAAAGAATTAAAAATAAAGTATCAAATAACATTGAGATATTAAAAGGCACAAACAAAAGTACCTATAGAAAGTATAAGGAGTGTAAAAAGAAGAACTGAGACATTCTTGATAGCCATGCTTATTGAACAATTAATTTTCAGAGTTGGGTATATCGATCATACTTACAGCATGCTATTAATTTATAGTGCTAGAAATGATCACAGGTCTTTAAATTTTATATTACATGCATCCATATTAGATTAGTATCTTAATTAACTAGCTTATAGAAAAAAAAGTAGTGCCGATTTGCTTCCCATCTTACGGAAAAAGATAAGGTAAGGGACTAGAATATTTAATTCAATGCAAGGAATGATAGACTATCTCATAATATAATTTCCATATTGGACCTAACATTTGGAGATTACAATCATATGTTATTTAAGAGCCTACTTGATTATAAGTATGCTTCTTATAATCATGCAAGCATATTGTTATGACCACTTTTTTCATGGGAATAATATTCAATTGCGAATTGGGAAAAAATTATATTCTATAAAATGTGAGTTTTGAACATTATTTGGTAGATTTAGAAAATATGAATTATGATTATCAAATGGCATTTAAGCATAACACATTTAATCTGCTTGCATCATCTAAAACACTTTGTTTTAATCTTGTTAGTGCTCGAGATAACGACCCGATCGGTCGTTTTGTGTAATTGTGCTCTGTTATCCTTTTTATTACTTCCGGACCCTTGGTTCTTGACTTAGAAGATTGAATTTACAAAATTTTGACCAACCTTTGACTTTTGTAAAAATGACCTTGGAACAATAGTTTTATGGCTCTGATAGCTTCGTATCGTGATTTCGAACTTCGGCCATGCTCAGAATAGATTTTGGAAGTCCGTAGGTTGATTGGTGTTTACTTGCAGAAATTTGGCAATTTTAATGTTGAAAAGTTTGACCGCAGGTTGACTTTTAGCTATCGAGCTCAATATTTGATTTGGGACTTGGAATGGGTCCGTTATGGTATTTATAACTTGTCTGCAAAAATTGATGTTGTTTAGAGTTGATTTGTTAGTATTCGGACATATAGCTGTAATTCTAGAAGTTCCTAAAATTTTCTATGAAAATCACGTGTTTTAGAGATCAATTCGTAGTTTTTGTCATGGGCGGCTTTCCAGCAATGCCCCATGACCCCTTGGGCACGCTCCGTGGCATCCTAGCCAGCCTCCATATGCCTAGCGCCACGGACGGCCCCGTGGTCTTGGCTGCGCCAAGTGGCAAGCGCGCATGTGCCTCTGTCACCCCACCGATATCCCTCGCCAGTGCCCAGCCGCAGGCAGATGTCAACAGCATCGCACGCGCAGACCGTGATGCCAAAGATAATGTTGCTGACAACAGAACGGTTTCCGCCTTTTAGAAAACTAAGTCCTTTTCATTGTAAATATAGAGTACTTTTATTTCATGTACTTTCATTATGTTTCTTTAGCTTAGTCTAGTCTAGTCTTGTATCTTGGGTTATTTTTTTTCAGCACTATTAGGGGGGGTCAATCAATCAAACTTTCTAGTGAGCAAACTATTCTTTGTACTTGTATCTCTCCCCCTCGACACCGTGTTGCTTTTCTGTAATAACTTTCATTAAAGCAATCAAGCTTTCTTTCATTCTCAATTCTCATTTCTATTCTCTCAATTACTCTTGACATTGGTTTTCCCGTACACTGACAATCTCGTCTAGCGTACGTAGGGGACCTCAGTTGACGGACAGTAACTACACTGACATCAGTTGCTTAGATTTACGTCGCCCTTCCAAGGAATCTCAGGAAGGTGCCTTGTAACAGTTGGTATCAGAACCTAGGCTCGACATCGGACGAAGGAACATATTACCATTACCACCATTTCTGACCATGGAGAATCATGGGGACCGTATTGCGGCCCTCGAAGAGACGGTTGACGTATTACAACCCATCATGGATACGGTGCCTGAAATAAGAACCAGCCTAGTGCAAAGGTTGGACGACCTGGACCGCAGAATGCTCCTGGTCGAAGTTGACATAGAAAACATCAGTCGCGACTCTGAGGGAGACCAGCAAACGACAGCCACAAAGGCAACCAAAATTTTTGGCAAATTCGAGGGCCTCCAACAAGAGCGTGCCGGGGATTTAGCCTACAAGGCACAAGAGGCAGACATGGTGACTGCCATGCAACAAATTATAGACAACTTGATAGGCCAGCTCAATGTTGTCAATGTTGCTTTACAAGTTTTACGTCGAGGAGGCGCAAACCAAATCAGGGGTGCTGTGAACCTCACTCCCGCGGCAAAAAAAAACGGAAAAATCCTGACCCAAATCCATACAGTGGACCTAGGAATGCCAAGGAAGTGGAAAACTTCATCTTTGATATCGAACTGTACTTCGAGGTTGTTGGGGGCCTAGAAGAAGCTAAGAAGGTAGCAACTGCTGTCATGTATCTTCAGGGTGATGCTAAACTCTGGTGGCGGGTGAAGTATGAAGCCATCAGGGCCGGTGAAGATGCTCTCGAGACATGGGCAGAACTGAAGGCAGCCATACGCCTACTGTTCTTCCCCGAAAATGTTGAATACAACGTAAGGAGAAAGCTACGGGAGCTCTGCCAGACCAAATTAGTGAAGGACTACGTGCGGGAATTCTTCGCGCTCATGCTAAACATACGTGACATGGGGGACTAAGACAAGCTCTTCACCTAGAAGGGTTGAAACCTTATGCCCGTATGGAGCTGCAAAGACAAAGGGTAGATACCCTACCCAAGGCGATCCAAGCAACTAAATGCCTTGGGGACTATCAAGTGGAAGCTCGGAAGGATAGGCCTCAACCCCCTGCATGAGCGGGATACAAAGGGGGCCAGCCTAGAAATGGTGACCCTAGTAGAAGTGGGGAGATCAGAGGGCAACCAAATCTAAGGCTCGCTCATCAGGCAGCAATAGTGTTGCGTCAAACAACAATGACCAGGGGAGAAAGCCTCCTTCAGGATGCCGTCATTGCAGCAGACCACATTGGAATAATGAATTCCCACATTCACAGAAGAATGCCCATCAAGCTTTTGATTATGGGACCAATGATGACACAAATGATGCAGACCAGACCGAACAAGTAGGTGCCTTAAATGCAATTATTGGTTCTATTCAGAAGCATTCGTAGAGACCAGTGCTGGTATCCGTAAGAAGAAAGACCCATGTCCAATCACAAAAAAAGGGAAAATAAAGTGGATGAGGGGACTCCTCTTAAAGAAGGGAGGACCATGATGTTCGTCGAGATGAAGGTGAATGGCAAGCCCATTGTAACGACCCGATCGGTCGTTTTGACTCCTAGCGCTCCGTTCAGCAGTCGGAGGCCAGGAACAGCTTCATTTCGGGTATTATGACTTGTACTCATGATCGGAATTAAGTTTCGGGAAGTTCAAAGTTAATTTAGAAAGAGAATTCTCATTTCAGAAGCTTAAAGTTGAAAGACTGAACTAGGATTGGAATTTTGAGTAAACGACCTCGGAATCAGGATCCGAAGGTTCCAGCGGGTTCGTATGATGATTTCAGACTTGGGCGTATGCCCGGTTCGGGTTTTGGATAACCCGGGAGTGTTTTGGCACCTATTGTGGAAGTTAGCATTTTAGAAGAAACTTCTTAAGTTTGGCTTAAAGTGCATTTCAGTGTTATCAATGTCCGTTTAGGATTTCGAGACTGTGAATAGCTCCGTATGGTGATTCTGGAGTTGGGGGCGCGATCGGAAGTGAATTCAGAGGTCTGTAGGACATTTTGGAGACATTTGGCTAAGGATAGAAATTTGAAGGTTTTTGAGAAGTTTGACTGGAGGTTGACTTTTTGATATCGGGGTCGGAATCCGATTCCGGAAGTTGCAATAGGTCCGTAATGTCAAATATGACTTGCATGCAAAATTTGAGGTCAATCGGACGTGATTGGATAGGTTTAAACATCGAAAATAGAAGTTGGAAAGCTCAAAGTTCATAAAGACTGAATTGGGGTGTAATCTGTGATTTTCGTGTTGTTTGATGTGATTTGAGGCCTCGAGCAAGTTCGTAATGTGTTTTGGGACTGGTTGGTGTGATTGGTTGGGGTCCCGGGGGCCTCGGGTGGATTCCGGGTGGTTAACGGATCGAAAATGGATTTTTGGGAAGGCTGAGGTTTGCTGATTGCTGGTATTTCCGCTTCTGCGAAAATGGGACTGCAGAAGCGGTAGAGGGAGCCGTAGAAGCGGAATTGTTCGAAGGTTCGTGGACCGCAGATGCGGTCAAGGTTCCGCAGAAACGGGACCGCATCTGCGGAAGTGATATCGCAGAAGTGGAAGGGGCCAGGCCCAAGGAAGCCGCAGAAGCGGCCAAAAGTCGCAGAAGCGACATCTGCAGAAGCGGAAAATGCACCGCAGGTGCGAAAATCGCTGGTGGCAGAGGGGTTGTTTTAAAGTCAGATTTTGTTCATTTCACCCATTTTCTTCACTTCATTTGGCAATTTTTGGAGAGCTTCAAAGAGGGATTTCGTCATCTATGTCAAGGTAAGTTACTCCTACTCATTTCCAAGTTAAATACAAGATTATATCATGGATTTAGGCATGAAAATTGTGGGGAAATTGGTGTTTTTAGAAGAAGACCTAGAAATTTATAAATTGGAATTTAGCCACGAATTTGAGCATGGAATTAGGAGTAAATTGTATATTTGAGCTAGTAAAGTCATGGGTAAGCTTTATTTTCGAAAAATTTCGGATTCCGGGCACGTGGGCCCGAGGGCATTTTGGTCATTTCACTAAGCGAAATTGGGAATTTGTATAATTTGAATTGTTAACGAGTATTTGAGTATGTTCTCATTAGTTTGTCGTTAATTGGCTAGTTTTGGTACAATGTGCGTCGGTTCAAGACTTCGGAAGAATGTAGAATGCGGATTATGAGTCTTCGGAGCGAGGTGAGTCTCCTTTCTAACCTTGTGAGGGGGAAATGTCCCCATAGGTGAATTAAATGGTTATGTGCTCCTAATTGTGGGGGCTACGTACGCAGAAGGTGACGAGAGTCCGTGCGTAGCTACTATTATGCTATACCTGTGTCGCATGGATGATTTGCGAGCGAGGTGATTGTTTATTTTATGTTGACTGCGTCGC